TCGGCGATCAGCCGATACTTGCATGAGAAACCGATTTGACCCATTTTTTTGTAGTTTTAACAACAATTGTCTGAACTTCATTTATATTTCAGAGCACTACCTCATGGCCAGTTAAAACAAGTTTGTATTGTTTCTAGGATATTGTTCAAGGGTATGTTTTTAATAAAATATTGGAAAATTAAAGGTGCATTGTGACCTTATAACACCTGACAGTGTCGCTTATAAAACAAAATCAGCATCGGCAGGTCAGACTTTTTAGAGATCGGTGATCGGACAGAAAACTGCAATTGACGCACCCCTAGTTTAAAGTTCTGTACGCAGAAAAAGAAGGACATCCAGACCATGAATAGTCAGATCAAAGAAGAACGCGCAAGAAGCAGCAAAAACAGGGGCAGTTAGTCAGTAAAGTGCAGGGAGGACATGGAGCTACAGAGAAATATGGAGAACTGAAGGAGGCAAGCAGCAGAAAGCTGCGTTTTCTTTATAGGTTATGGAACATCTCCTCCAAAGATGGGTCAAATGTCTCATGCAGGGACACAAACACAGCAGAGTGTGTTTGAAATACTTAACTACAGCTAAACCCAAGAGGTTACACCAGAGGTCTGCAACTTGTGGCTCTGGGGCCACATGTGACTCTTTGGCCCCCATCTTTAAATCTGGTGTTTTCATTTGTCTTACATTATTATATGCGGTGGCACAGAGGTTAGAGAAGGAAAGCCTGTGATTGGAAGGACACCGGTTCGACCCCTCCAAACAAACAACATCAAAACATGTGTGGTAAAGGTGAAACACCCACACCTGCCTCTACCCTTTATTTGCCCCACTCTGGGCCCTTGAGCAAGGCCCTTAACCCCAACATCTGCTCCCCTGAACTCCCTAGATAGCAGCTTTCTGCTCCACACAGAGGCAGCTCAGTGGTCTGTGGTTGCATCAGGAAAGATATCCGGCGTAAAAACGGTTCCCAAGTCGATACGCGTTAGTTCACTGTGGACCCCTGAAGAAGAGAGCAGCCCTACTGGTCGGAAAAGTCTTCTCCAACAAACTTGAAATGGTCCATGGGCCACCAGTTGATAATCCCAGTTGCAGCAGGTTTTGCAACACATTTTGTTTAGTGAGCCAAAGGTCATAAATGGCTCTTTTGATCTTCAAAGGTTGCAGATCCCTGGATTACACCAATAGAAGTGTTCCAAATTACCAAATGGGTCACTTAAAAATGGTTTTACGTTAGCTACAATGAAACGGTTAGCCGAAAACATAATTAACTCTTGATTTTATTTTATTTTTCTCTTAAAGTAAACATCGACTTTGAGGGATTTAAAAATGTGTCACACGTTGGGTTCATTTTTAAACTTTAAGACAAAAATAGAGCTCAGAAGCTTCCGACTGGACCTGAAATCACAGGTTTCACATGAACTTTTCCTCCGATTCACCGCCAGACCTGCAATCCCGTTGCTTTTTCCCTCCATTAGATGAAATGGTTTGTCAGACCGAGGTTCTTCAAGTCAACATTCAGTTAAAACAGTTTGTTACGGTTTGCCTTACCTGTGAGAGATGCAGCCGCCGCTCACGTCTGATTATTCACGTCAGAGACAGAACAACTCAAAACATGCTCCTGGCCTGACGTTTGTCAAATCTGAGCTGCCGTTTGGATCACTTCAAATTTCTGGATCCACTCTGATCCGTCTCCAGGCTCCTGCAGATTTTTTTAATCTAAAATATTCAACAGATGACTCAGACGTTTCAGATGAAAAAGCGAGAGAAGTTGACCCTGTTTTTACGCCGCACGCGACAGTTCAGCTCCTTCGGTTTCTTTCAGCCGTCAACTCGAGCTGAAAATTTCAAAAGTGATTTTTTTTTTTCTTCTTGGCTCAGATCGTTTTTCTCTCCCAACCAACTGCTGAGTTACACAGACCCTTTAGAAAGACAGAAACTGTGTCTGCGCTCCTGCTGCTGTGTGGCCTTCATACACACAAACATTAACACAAAAAACAGCAAATACTCGTACATCTGTGTCGCATTCAGCCTCAATTACAAACCATTTAAGTGGAGACATCCTGCGTGTTTCACACAACTTCTGTCCCCAACTCTCTGACGGAGGAGGATTGGAAACCAATAAACCACATTTATAGAGCCTGACGTTCGAGATGCACCAACTAGGCCTGTCATGATAACACATTCTGCTGGGCGATTAATTGTCTCAGAAATTATTGCAATAAATGATAATATTGTTTGTAATATTGTAATAATTAAGATGGTTAATTTTTGTGTGTGGTACCTTTTTTGACCACTGGATGGCAGTATAAGATTGTTTGAACCGAAGGATGGATAGTGAGGGAGCAAGCAGCGTGTCTCTCTAAGAAAAATGGGAGGGAGGCCTCTTGACGTGACATGGGCTGTCTCTCTTTTTTATTTCGGTTCTCAAAATGGCGGCCGCTTCAAACTTAGTCGCAAATACAAATAAACGCCAGTACACGTCTTACACTTAATGGTCTCCAATTATAAATGTGATCAAATGCAAGAGGTGATTTGTACATGAAAAAATTATAATTTGAACTTGTTTTTTTTTTTTTCTATTAATAAAAGCAAAAAAAAATTAAACATTTGTTACAACGCCACCCCACCCACATAAAAATTAAAATTATTATGTATAACAGTCACCAACGGTCATTTTTCTCACAGCAGAGGCATTCTTCCTGCAACATTGACAAAACTGAAACAATATGCACAACGGCAGCGGACAGTTTCTGTCACTCGTCTCTTTAAGACAGCCGGCAGTGGAGAAACGGCAACAAGTTACAATTTTTAATCATTAGCATTTGCTTAGCACATTCCTTGGAAATGAGTTAAGCAGCTTTTCAGACTCAATGACCTGCGGTGGAAGACTCGTAACTAGTCAGTTTTGACCATATTCACTCTCCATTTTGTTCAGAACCACGTGGACAGATGATGGCGGGCAGCCCGGCTCACTTTCAACTCTCTGGGTGGCAGTTGGACGGCTCTCTGTCTCAGCTTTCAAAAGGTTGAGAACTCCTACACCACTTTCATGATGTTCAATAATGCCCTTCCTCACCACAAAGATGATAATGATGATCGAGTCCTTTATCATCTTACCAAGGACCGAGCAGTGAGATTCACAGGAAGCTTGTCAGATCCTTATATTCCCAGGGCCTCCTTCTGCTCAAGCTTTTACTTTGAAATACCTCTACAGGGCTTATTCTTCTATAATGATGATTACTGGTGCAGTAAACAACTAGATTATTACAAACAACTGATAAGAAGTGTGAATCGGGACAGCCAAGCCAAATAAACAAATAAATGAGCAAGCGATATGCTGATACCTCGTCGCTGAGGGATTTGAATAGTGAATGTTTGTAGTTTTTGAGATGAGTGTTGTTCTGGAGTGGAATCAAACAGGGAATGTAAGTGAACCTGAATGTTTTTGGTGCAAGATATTCAAATGGGTAGTGGAAAACAATAGTTTGTTTTCTTCTTCTTGATGTGACGGATCCTGGTGAGTGAAAGTGAAAATTTATCCAGCACTAGGTGCAATGGCGGAGCTAGTGGGTGGCTAATGGTGGCCATGGTCTCTATAGATTCATATTCATACCTGCAAACTCAAGGGATGAAAAAGGTGACAGGAATCGCACACCGAAGAATTTGTGATTTTTAACATGTATGGTAAATTAAGCATTTTGATACACTCCAAGAAGAAAATAAGGGGAAAAGACAGGTAAAATAGACATTACTAACATATACTAATTTATTTAGGAAATGCACAGGAAAGATGGCTAGTCAACCAAAAATAAAAAACAAACAACAACAAGAGAAAGCCAATCAGAGAAACCAAATATAGCAGATAACTTCTTTCTAGAGCAGAACATTTTTGGAAATGGCAAAAACTCTTCTTAAATAAATAGCGCTATGCTAGCAACGTTCAATACAGATGCGCTAGCTAAGATGCTACAGATATAGCATGCCGCTTCGCTAACGCATCCTACCCCCCTTCCCCAGTCAACAACTGCGGGCACTTACGTAGCGTTCAGCTAGCACTACGTAAGTGCGCTAACTTAGCACTAACGAGCTAGCATGAGCTTTCTTGTGAACACAGGTTGCGAGCTAGCTAATGCGATTTACATAGTGCTAGCTTAGCACTACTAAGTTCAGTCAATGGGAAAATATGCCATCTACCAATCCTCTGACACACACAAAATAAAATCTTCAGATCTAAATGATTCACGTAAATAACATTTTGATTGAAATCGGCGAATTTCGCCAAAAAGCAACGTTTGCAGGTGCATCTTCTTTGGCCACACCAATCATTTGAGGAAACCGTATTACAATATTTTGATGAGGTACCCATTTTTTTTAATAGTGATCTTTCTTACAGCTAAATGCAGCCACACATCAAAATGGAAGTTGGCACCTTCACTTATTTTTCAAGTCATCATGTCCACAACATGAACGGATGGATGGACGCACAGATGGAGGGTATTTTCAATCCCCTGTTTTTCGCTCTTTGATGGGGAACAATAAATGAACCAATATGACTAACGTCACACGACTGAGAGGTAAACACCGCACTGCTTTACAAAGTGTTATCAGAACCGCGATGTTAGAACACATGAATATGTACATGGTATCACTACATCTCTAACTGAACGCTTTTACAAGAATTAATCTAAACAAACCAGATGCAAGGCCACACATCAACCAACACAATCACTTCTTCCACTTTGATGGATCTCGTATTGCCAACTGGCTGCCCAGTTTTTCAGGGTACAGGAGTTTTAACAACACAAACACACCGCACATTAAACAAGCAGAACTCTGAATTAATTGATTGAACATTAAAAAGCAAGTGGGACAAAATGAAAAAGTGAGCTCCTTAACAAGATTGGGATTAAAGGCTAATCCATCAGCTTCAGTCACAGATTTAGGAACTCATATCTGTGACAAAAAGGCACCATGAAGAGAAAAAGAAATGTAAAGGTTTGTCTTACTTGGAGTAGTCTTTGTTGTCTCTGTCGCAGCGCGAGTCCTTGTGTTTTTCCCATTCTTTGCCATGTTTGCATGTGGTCAGCAGAAGAACGTCGTCCCCATTGTGGACATGATAGAGAGCGTTCCTCGTCTCTGAGCCGATACCGGTCAGGTAGCGCTTCCCTTTGAAAACCAGCTGGTACTTCCTGGAAGGCGGGGCATCATTCAGTGTCAGATAACCCGTGGCCCCTTCTTTCAGTGGGTGATCTTTGGAGAACAGGGGGATAGAAATGTCAAAGTTGGGCCGGAAGTTGGCCACGTCTGCACTGGCCTTGGCCAGCATGGCTTGGCCCACCTCAAACCCCAGATCCTCCGTGTAGTCGGGCCAGGTGCCAGAGTACAGGTTGAATATGAGGTGGTTCCTGCCATCGTTCCACGTCGGCAGGTTGTGGATGCGGGTTCTAACATTCTGGACGTACTGAACCGAGAGCTGGTCCCTGTCCAACGTGTCCACGGCCAGAATGAACAGGCAGGCCCGTGAAGGGTCCGTTGTACGGAAGCGAGACTCCTCGATAGAGGACAGGATCTTCTGGTAGGTCTCGGAGATCGTGTCCCCTCTCTGTGGAGGGTAGATGTAAACCCTGAAGCCCGACTGGCAGCGTGCGAAGTCGAAGCAGGTTTCCATGCGGCAACGCTTGTTCTTGTAGATGTTGTCGCGGATTGCACGTCGCTCCCGAGGAGAGGTGTGCTGGTGATGGAGCTGAGGACTGTCCTCCTGCACGGACACACAGAGACAGGGCAGGGTTGAAGAGGGTGTGGGCCCTTGGGCTAAAGCTACTTTTAGAAACCCACTGATATACTAATATATAAATTACAGTAAAGACTGTGTACTCATTACCTTTAAGGTTTCAGTAACACGGACTTTACCACACATACACCTGAAGTTCTAAGAACAAAAATAAATTAAAATACAAGCCATCGACCTGAAAGTATGACAGTCTGTTCCTTTAAGACTTATATCTTTACTGCGTCATCGGTGCAAATTTAACCATTTCTCTTAAACCGAGTACGTTTCTTTACAAACCAAATAGTTTTAAACTGTAATGATAATGAAAGAAAAAGGGTCAAAATGCACATCTCCCTCAGTAACCGCCAACGCTCCATAGTCTTTATTAAAACACTGAGAACACTTCATCCTACTGTCTCGAGATTACAGAGGAAGCGGCAGCTACAAGGATTTGAAGATAATTGCTAAAATTCAAACGTTATAAAAAAGTAATAAATTGTCTGATAGAGATTACATCCGTATAAACACTGACAGATAAACAATAGTTAACAGGCTCCTTCATAGTAATACTCTTCCCCGTTATGTGGGATTGCACTTCTTCTTTGGAAATAAATAAAATACGGGGTTTACAAAACATGTCATTAAAAATAATTATAGCATTTTGGAGCCTTTTAAACTTCAGAGTCCTGCATTATACTGTTGGCCCTTTGGAAAAACTGAGTTTGTGCATGTTAACATTTTCCTATGACTTTCCGTTGGTCGTTTTTGTCTATTTAATCGTAACGCGTTTTATTTGCAACCTACTGTCTGTGCTTACAGATTTATGTACAGTTATATTGCATTCATAAAAAGAGAACTACATGTGTGAGTCATATGGATTTAAACAAGCTCAATAAAAATGTACACTTTTAAACAAGACGACATGTTATGGAGCAAAGGAGACTAAAAGAAATGCCTTTTTAACATTAACGCAGGTGTGGCTTTTAATAAAAGACATAAGAATGATTTCTTCAGCCCTAAATTAAACGACCATTTTCTAAGACTTTTCAATAAAAAGTTATCAGACAATTCACTGCATCTTACTTCATTTTCACGACGCATCAGGAGATGGATCCATTTGCAGCAGTTAAAGGTATGAAGGTAATAATAAATTTCTAACAAAACATTGACTAGAACGTCTTGACAAGAGGGATAACACAACAGGAGGAAGATGAGGATGTGTCAGCTGAAACTCTGCAGGTGTGCTAATTAGAAACTGAGACCTGGTGTGAGATTCAAACAGGAAGTAAAACGTGACAAAATAAAACAGGAAGTAAAGTAAGTAATTAATGGTCAGAATTTAAACAGTAAAATTATGTGAAAACAAAACATAAAAAAAATAGATTCTAAAAAAATAAAAAAAAATCAGCTTTTTTGCCCAGAAACTTTTCATAGTTTTTACAATTGTGAGTTTTTAACATCTCTAACTTTTCATCGTCATCCTTTATTCAGTGTCTGACTTCCTGTTGTTAATACCATAAAAACACTGAGATTTTATTTTATGAATGTTAAAAAAAAACGTTGTTAAATGTTAAAAAACTTTCATATAAAAAAAGAAAAGGTCAAACCCAAACTAACCTTCCAATGAATCTTTTCTTGCTGCATGCACACGCTGCTTTTAAACATCTGGATCCAGCCCAGATTTATTTTATCATTCTGTTATGATGATGACGCTTTCGAAACCCTGTACCATTAAATAAAAAATAGAGCACTGATTGCATTTTAACTCTGTTTTTTTATTAAACAAAACTTCCTCTGATCAGTAAATCATTTCCCACAGCTTCTTTTGTTTGTGCAAATCGTTTGGTTCGGTTTACCTCCTGCTCTCCTCCCTCCAGATATGGCTCCAGCAGCTCGGTCGACTCGGGCCAGTGTCTGGACGGTCTGGACGGGAGTCTCTGGGGCAGAGGCTGAGGCTGGTGCACGTCCTGCTGCCTCTGGTGGTAGTACTGGTCCTGCTGGTGGTGCTGATAATGCTGAGGAGTTTGTGGATACTGGTACGGCTGCTGCTGCTGCTGGGGGAACTCTTCGATTTGCAGACCCCACAGGTAGATGAGGAAGAGTAGACCGGCCACCACAGACACGAGCAGGTACCGCTTCTTGGCCTGCATGTGTGCTGCGGGATGAGGAGGAGGTGGTGGGTCTCAGGGTGGGACGAGAAGATGCAAACGGTGATGGAGGACAAAGTATGGAAGAGGTTTGAACAAAGAGTGGAAAAAGCAGCTCAACGTAAAAAGGGATGAGGAAATGATGAGGGGGGTTGTAGGGGCGCAGGGCACCTCTCTATCCACAGCTCAGCATTTTGAGATTTGGGGGTCACTGAAAGAAAAACGACACATTAATCAGGCTGAAGCGCCTCTGAAGACATTAAGAGCAACAAATCCATGAATTTTAAATGGTTTATTTAAATGCAAGAAGAAAACTGGAAGTTGAAAATTCATCACATAAATTACAAATTAAAGGTTCAGGTGTAAAAAGGCAAAAATATATATCTTGCACTGTTGTTTTATTTTGAAGGGGAAACATGCAGAAGTTACACTGCATTCCTGAGGACCAACTTTTAGGTGTTTCCCTGCTTCAACACTTATTAACACGATCCTGCAGAACCTAACAGCACGATGAGGAGCGAATTCAAGCCTCGGATTCAGGTTGGAGCAAAGAAACAGCTAAAACTTGAAGGTTAATGCCCCTCAGTTAACCATTAACTGGGATTACAGCATCCTAAAAATATTGATATGTAATAATTGGTATAAATGTCTCTTGTGTTTAAAGTTTTATTAAAAAGTTTAAGCAAAAAAAGGAATTATGTTGAAATTAAATTAATTTGGCTTTAACTAGAACAATAACAGGTATAAATGTTGAGTTAATATTTGCTTGATTTGATTATTTCTTGAGCAATTGCAGATTTAAACCATTAGAATTGATCTAATTTCATGTCAAAAGCAAAGTTTTATTTGCAACAGTTTGAGAAATTGCAGTCGTCAAATTTGGATGCAATTTAACTCATTTATTTAAATGTGATGCAGCTGTAAATTAGTGCAACTACTAGTTACAGTCTAGGGAAATGATCCAAATTGTTGCATGAGTTTGTTTTTAGTGAGTGAAAGTCAGAGAGGAGCTGGAGTTTTATTTCTGCTCATCATGAAGGTTTTAGTTTCTGGGCTGTGACTCTTTCTTAACAGAGTTGGTTTTATTGTGCACAGTGCACAAACACAATGGCACAAAAGGAGTTGTTCCTCTTTGAGCAACTTTTGCTGCAGCTGGACTCACCTGTTCAGAGGGAGCACCTGTGGAAGTGTGCGCTGCGCTCCCCTCCAGCCCGCGCAGGGGGTCCACGGCTCGGAACCGTCCTCCATTAACCACTGGATTACAATCCCATCCACAAACGAGGTGTTTTAAAGCCACGTGCGGGAGCGAACCAGTGAGCTGAGCGCGCGCCGGGAAACCAAACGAGGTGCGCTGCGTTCAGGCTCCGTCCGCCGCATCCCGGACTGAAAGTTTCCCCCCTGAACGCGCTGCTCTCTGTCCCCCCCCCCACGGAGGGAGTTTACGCACCGCGCTCACACTGATCCATCCATCTCCTCCGTCCCCACTCTCAGTAGATCCCAGACTCAAACTTTGCCTGTAAATCCAGGATCCCACCTGAAACCGAGTTGTGAAATCCGCCGAACAGAAGGAGCGCATCAATAAAATCCCGCGGAGCCACTTCTCCGCCCCCCCACCCCCCACCCCCCCTGAACGCCAGCAGCTGTCTGCGGGGCTTAAAGCCTCGGATCAGATCATGACTCCGGTTATTCCGAGCAGAACGCTGGCTTCCAGCTGTCCCGTCGTCCCTCACGTCTCCATCCTTAAATCCTCAGCTGGATCCGGGCTGCGCCACCGTGCAGCAGCATCAGCAGCAGCAGCAGCATCAGCAGCAGCAGCTGATGAGGCAGACAGCAGCAAGCTGCAGGGACTCGAGCAGGCACGGGACGTCTGCTGCCTCTGATAAGGCACTCCGCACCCAACAGTCGGCTCTGTTCGCATCTCTTTGTTTATCAGAATTAATGGTAAAAACTGAACTGACATCATAAAATAAATAAAAAGTTGAGACGTTTTGTAAAATGTAAATAAAACCAGAATGCAATGATTTGTGGATCTCGTATTTTACTGAACAAATGATGTTGGGACAGAGACAAGAAAAGCAGCAAAACTGAGTGGTCCAAACTGGAAAAGTGCTGGAGGGACATTTTGTAACCAGCTAAGATAATAAACAGCAGGTCAGCATAAAAAGAGCATTAATGATTCTCTCGGAAGTAAAGATGGGCAGAGGTTCACCAGTCTGTGAACAACTGTGTAAAATTATTGGAACCATTTCAGAATCATCTAACAAAAGTTACGTGAGGTCCTCTGATGGACTGTTCTTGTTGACATGTTTCATCCTTTATCCAAAACACTTTGTCAGTCTGAGGAGCTGCAACAAACTCAGTCTTATAAATATCACCTTAGTGGATGCAGTTTGTTGTCGACATCCAGAACTAGCTGTTCACATGATGAAGGGTGACCATCAGCCTAACGACCGATCGTTAGTGCCCACATGGCAGTATATCAAAGTTCATGCACAATCAACCAGGTACAAAATCTAATAATGGTCAATCAGGTGGACGATTTTTTTTTTTTTTTTTGTGGAAAGACGTTTCGCCCTCTATCCGGAGGGCTTCATCAGTCTGAGGAGAGCAGTAGTTTATCAAGCAGCCGGCATGGCACTAACGATCGGTCGTTAGGCTGATGCTCCTTTATCATGTGAACAGCTAGTTCTGGGTGTCACCAGCAAACTGGTTGATCCACTATGAGAAGGTGCTATTTATAGGACTGAGTTTAGTGCAGCTCCTCAAACTGAAGAAGCCTTTTGGATAAAAAAAAAAACCCCGAAATGTTTCAACAACAAGAATCCGTCCAGAGGACCTGACTTAACTTTTTTAGATTTTTCTACCTGGATTATTGAGCACGCATCAGGATATTTCAGACTAATGTTTCTCAGCAGGAAATTTGCAACACTTTGACATATCCCATCATTCATCAAAATATTTCAAGAATCTGTAGAAATCCCTGAGCTGAAAAGGTCAATATTGGATGGCCGTGATCTCTGGATGGGCTCAGGAACACTTTTACAGATCACGGTCTGTAATCGCAGTTCAGCAGCGTGTTTAAAATGAGGTAAAGCAGGAAACTGTTCTGTGGTCAGACGGATTTGGAAAAATGTGTTTCGATAAAGAGTCAAAGCAGATTCTAAAGGATGTGAAAGTCCTTGACTGTTAATAAAGTCCCAGCTGTAATTATGTGAATGATCTGAACTAAACAGTTCATACGTGCAGTTTAACTTTGACGATTTGCTTTTAAAAGCACATTAGAGCAGCAGTTACCTGCAACTCGTCATATTTTCAAAGCAAAATGTGCTACTGAGTTAAATACACCATTAAGGTGACAATTAAACATTGTGATTATGATCCTGAGGGGATTTTAAAACTTTTTATACCTTTTTTTTTTTTTTATATTCAACCTTTATTTATAGGTTAATCCCATTGAGCCTCTGGTACTCATTTACAAGAGAGGCCTGATTTTAACAAAGAGTGATGACAACAGTAGACGATCATAAAAAGGAAGCATACAAATTGAGAAGAACAAGTGAAAGAAAATCGCATTAAAAATTAAACGAAACAAAAAAAACATCTAGGTTACGCAATGTGGGATTTTGACATATCTGTTAATCTTTGACTCACTGGATCACATTTTAATCATTTGGATTTTTCTAATTATTTTTTTACAGTTAAGTCACATTTATCCATTTGAAGGGATGCAAACAAATACATTTAACTGAAAATGTGTATAAAACCTGTTATATTAAATGCAAAGTTTACAGACGTTGTTCCCTCACTGTGCAGCAAACAGCGCCATCTGGTGGCACAATTTATTTCCTCAAAGAGGTGGAAGTTTGAAGCAGTAAAAAGCATATTAGAACCTGTCAGGAGCAGATATAGGATAAGAAATGCACCTAAAATGTAGATTATATATGTACAGGAACTATGTGAAGATAAAAACACAAGCTGTCAAACTTTAAAGATCCAACCAGCCTAAAGGAACCTTTTAATGTGCCATTTTATTTTTTTTTGGCTTCACCAAGCTTCTTCAGGCAGAAAGTGGTGCCTGTCAGGCAAATAATTTAAAGTGAAATCAGCAAACCGCTCACAGCACATTAATATTAATCCTCCGAGCCTCGAATGCATCACAACAAACTGATGACAGACACGTTTATGTACAAGTCAGGGCAGAACGGTTCTGGTTCACAGAGCTTCAGAAGGAGAACACTTCTGGGTCTTGGAAGTGCTTGAAGAAGCACTGTCAAAAATTAATTCAAGATAAATACCTTTACAGGAAAAAGTGAAACGTTTTGAGGTAAATTTGAATATTTTGAAGCAGCAATGTGATTAGAAAGAAATAGAACGTTGTTGCTCAGTTTAAAACTAAATTAAGTGTTCATTATCTCATAAAGCACGCTATGATTTTGCTGAGCTTCTTAATTATTAACAGTAATTGTGACGAAAATACTGAACCATCAGTTTTGTTGCTAAACTCAGCTGCGACCTCCAATTTTAGCTTCTCAGAACAGTTTAAAATCCTACTTCTAACATTCAAAGCTCTCCACATAAGCTCCATCGTACGTTAAAGAATGCTTTTGCTCCATGTTCTCCAAACAGAGCCGTCGCTCTCTGACTGCAGGTTTACGTGCGGTTCCTAGAGTTTCTAAAATGGGAGGCAAAGCTTTCAGTTATCAGGCTCCTCTGTTGTGATATCAACTTCCTGTTTCTGTCCGTGAGGCTGACAGTCCGTCTACTTTTAAGACGAGGCTGAAAACTTTTCATGTTGATCAATCCTATAGTTAGGGGGATTCCTCAGCTCTTCATGAGATTTTCAAGATTTAACCAAAACGACTACAGCAGCCTTTTTTAAACTCTGCATGAGGCGATATGCATTCCTTCAGTTAGTGATAAACCCTTAAATAATTCATGCATTTGTAAAAAAAAATTAATGCGTGAAACATCAATTTTTTTAATGTTTTGAGGTTTTTTTGTTC